ACAACGATTTGTTTCCTCCTGCACACACCTTGACTGGGGCAGGGATCAAACCTGCAACTCAAGCATGCGCCCTTGACCAGGAATCGAACCCGAGACTCTTCAGTGCATGGGCCGACGCTCTAACCACTGAGCCACACCGGCCAAGGCTGGATACAGGTACTTTAGAATTGGGATTGCCCATCAAAGCGTTTGGGTATTGGCATTGTTTTAAGCAACAACTGCAAGCTCCGTTGGACTTTTATCTCCTCCACATAGGACCGCAGGTATTGTTCCTTTAAGTGAAGACTGAATGTTGTGGCTTCAGGTGGCAGCCTCAGGATGTTTTCCCAGCAAAGTTAATTAAATGTACCCAGCGTTCTCCACGTAGCTTCCCTGTCTCTCACACAGTCAGGCTTGTAATTGCATGTGCTCTCCCTCGGTCTATTTTTATATCATCACATAATAATTTATCCTTTAAATATATCCATCATCCTGGACTGCATTTATTTTTTATTAAGTCTCTTGCCTGCCTCCTGTAATTTAATTGGTGTTTACCGCACTGCCTAGCAGCGGAGGGCATAGAGTTACAAGAAGTGGGTCCAGGTCTGGACTCTGGTGGCGTGGCTGCTCTGGGACTTGGGGCGATTTCTCTTCTGTCAATCAGGTCTCAGTGGGCTCATTTATAAAAGGGGGAACCAGGCCGGGTTCAGCTTGTGGGTAAACCGGCGATTACTTTCTCTCGATGACTTCCTCCAACAACAGTGGGATGATGTTTCTTTCTTACTGGTGTCCTCCCACATCGCTTTCCCAAAGTGACCAGACCAAAATTAGCAGGCGATAAACCCTTGCAACACTGAATGCATCATCAGACCCAGAAAATGGAAACACATATACATATGTATACATTTATACTTTATACACAGAGATAAAGACATTTAGTTCATTCTCACTCCTTCCACAATAAGCTCTTGGAAACTGGCCTCAGGTGGCTTTTCTGTGGCCCTTCGGATGACACACACAAGGACACTTAGGGTCTGGAAGGACCTCCCCAGGACAGCCCTCGAGCCCTGTAGCTTCCTCCAAGCTCTGTCTCCCGCCCATCCTTCCTTGTCGCTCTTTTCACTCTCTCCAGCCTTCATTGATTTCCCTTTTCCTAGAGCCAGCTGTTCTTGTCGTGGCCGGTCCACGTGGCACTGCCACACTGCCTCCCTGTGTCACAGCTCTATGAAGCATCTGTGGGGAAGCTTGATTAGAATAATGGCCAAGTGGAAATAACATGAACTCTGGGGTCAGGAGACCAGGATTGGAGCCCCAGATCCTCACCCTATCTTCTCAGGGTCCTTCAACAATTTGAGCCTCAGTTTCTCCTTTCATATCATGGAAACAGTAACCCCTCTTCAGCTTAAGAGCCTCCCACCAAGTGTGGTACAGATATGACATTAGTGCCTCCCTCGCCCAGGAGATGAACAGCTCCGTGAGCGCAGGGGCCACGCTTTTTACACCTTGTTTATCCCCCGGTGGTGCCCACCTCAGGGTTGGGCACATTAAGACGCGTGCAACGAACTGGGAGTAGAGTGCAGGCAGGTGCGGAGAAAAAGACGCATCGCTCCTTTCCCGCGCTCTTATTCCTGTTTCATTAGTTTTATTTCACATTGTTTTATGAAAGAGCTAGAGAGTAAACACACTGAATTCAAATGAACACAGGAGATAACAGAGAAGCCATCAAATGCAAATAGGTACACAAAGGAAGAGCCGCTGCAGCTTTGTACAGAGCA